AATATTAATAATTTGCTTTCTTGTGGGCCCCAAAACTTGACTGAAAAGCACATGGAGGCGAGCCCTGGTCTGGGAGGAATAGCTGAGAGTATATATTGTGTTTCTGTGTGTAAAGATTTGTGAACTTCATAAACTGTCAAACTACACAGGGGGCTGCTGCCAACAGCTGATAAGGTCTTCCAAAGTAACATCCCTAAAGGGTTTACCGTCTTCATGCTCCAAGTCTGCTAGAAGTGAGCAGAGCCAGTGTTGGGCCATTTTGCCCAACCGTATTTCATGAAGAAAATCTAAGTTATTTATCTGCTAGGAGAAGGCAGCAATTCTATGATGTGATAAGTACATTGGCATGCCACAGACAATTTACTCAGGGAAATACTGGGTATATTTTATATTCTTCGATATAAGAGTGGTGAGGCACTGTCACAGGTTGCCCAGAGATGCTGTGGCTGCGCCATCCCTGCCAGTGTTCAAGGCCAGGCTGGATGGGGCTTGGAGCAACCTGCTCTAGTGGAAGGTGTCCTTGCCTTCCATTGACAGGGAGTTGGAACTGAATGAGCTTTAAGATCCCCTCTAACCCAAATCAGTCTGTGATTCTATGATTTAGAGGAGTCACCACCTCAGAACTTCATTCTTGTTTGTGGCCAGCCTGACAGATGTTTTTGAAAGGTTTGTGTTTGAATTTATAGTGGCATAAGTGGGTGATACAGATGTCTGGTGAGGTATGAAAGGGAAGCTCTTCATTTCTCACCACTAGCATTAATGTTACGAGAGTACACAAGACAGACTCGATCAGGAAAAGATCTGGTACAGTTCTCTCAACCTTATTTATCCATCATCTGTTTGAACAAATCACCCTAAAATATTCTGACTGATGACTATTTCCTGCAGGAAGTTAAAAGTTCCTTGTTTTAACTCACTTTAGCTCCATGCTTCACATTTACATGAACAAAGATACTCATTGGTCTGTACTTTCCAGGTATTGCCAAAAAAAACTAGGACACAAGAAGGATCTATTAGATGAAAGGCAAATCTACTGCATAGCTTACAAAGATCACTGGCCATATCAAAGCTCTGAACTGTATTCAAAGGATAGCAAGTCCTAGAGCTGTGAAAATAAGTAATCACCAGTAACCTATTTGATACTGATTTTGCTTTGACTTTCATTGGGGAACTAACACTACTTAACTGACAATATTTTTTTTTTCATCAAAAGCCTCTTAAACTTTTATGGTGTTTAGAATCCAATTTTCCATTTTATTTAAATTACATATATACACATAAATATATATAAATAAATAGCCATGTGAAATTTATATATAAAAATATGTTATCGATAATTCATATATTATTATATATAATTTATTATATTTTATAATTCTATATTATATACATTTATTATATATTATGTAGTTTATATATTATATAAAATATCCTTTTATATATATGTGTGTATATATACACACACACACACTCACTGCTTGGTGGCATTTCCATTCCTTATTAGAGGGCTTCAGCAGGTAACTACCATACAGGGAGAATTTTCAACTGCATATTTGAGTTTGCAAATGAAATTTTGATCTTCAGATCCAGTAAAGCTGATTTCCACCAATATTTATGGTAACTGAGCACAAAGAGCAAAGAGATTCCAGCAAGGTGAAGCCATAAAATATTTTCTGTTGGCTATGCATGGAAAAGCTTTTTAAAATGCATGGTCCGTGTTACTCGGTGCTTTCAGTTTCTACCAGCTAAGCGGCCTTTAAACTTGCACTGTCAAATCTCACATCAACTTATATTTACCTGGTAGGGAGAAAAAAAAAAAGATAAAAGAGGGAAAAAAAAAACCCAACCAAACAAATTAATTAGAAATTTCTATTACAAAACTAAGCAGCAAATTAAAATTTTTGTGTAGTGCTTAAAATTTAGCAAGAAAAGATACCTATTTTAAAGAGGAATTATCAAATGCTGAACTCAGAGGGGGAAAGTAAGCAAAAATAAAATATGATCTTATGATTGAGATACCCAGGGTCACAATACATTGCAGTATGTTTCAACACAGTAACTTGATATATATTTACTAAATTGTTTGGCACATTCAGTATGTCCCCAGGGGATGGTTGGAGGGAACTAGCAGTACATTTTTCACTCTTTCCCTGTGCATTAGCAGACATAAGGTCACACTAGTATAGCGAAGATGGGTGCAGCCTCAGGCTCATTAGCTCTCAGCAAGCTAGCCAGATGAGGCAGCGTGGTGTTTTCCTTTCATCATTCAAGCTTGAAAGGAAACTGTTGGCAGCCAGTTGCTCTTAAAACAATGAAAATTAAGGTGACAGCAATCTCATTAGCTGAAAGGTAGCATTCAGTGGAGATAAAGATTTCTGAGTAAAGATTTCCCTCTTCTGTAACACATATACACAAACTTATTAGTAAAATATATCTTTTGAATGCAAAAATCTATGCATGAGAAGAGCAAATAGTGCTTGCTATATTACCATATCTGTGCATCAGTGAATTTTATTTCTTGCAAGAAAATCAATGTCTGGATGACTGGCTTCCTTTCAGGATAATGTATATGCCTTAGATGTATATGCATATTTACACAGCAGCAGTTTAATCTGTAACCTTTGCCACAGAACTGATACATTCCCTACAGATGTTTTCTTTGTCTTGCACAGAACTAAAATGCAGAAAACGTGAAGGGATATGAATGATGTTATTCTCAGAGTTTTCCAGGCTTCAGCCATGATGTATACTATGCTTGAAGATTAAATACCTTTTGCATTCCAATTACTGTATGTGAAAGTCTATTGATGATGTTTTATTGGTAATATTTCATTGCTGGAAGCTTTTAAGCTGAGTGGAGCTGTTTGCTTATGTGGATTCGTAAAGTCCAGGAGATCTGGTGCTGAAGACATATTTGCACTCAATTTTTTATTTTTTCTGTGCTTCATTTCAAATCTGACCTAACACAGAGATGTTTTCCTGCTTTTGTTATATAAGTGGGAACCTGATGGTCTTGATGACTATTTTTGATTTCCCTGGTGAAGACAAGAGATTTGTTTGTGTTTTTCTTAGCGATGGTGTTGTTCCAAGGTGTTAGCAAACACTGGAAGAAAAGCACTTGCTCTGAGTCCAGCTGTCAGATATGAAGAGGTTGATTACCAGGGGCAGTAGATGTCAAGTTCCCTGTAAAAATTTGTGGCACTTCACTCCCTAGGACTGCTTTGAAAATATAGATGCAAAGGGCTAGATTTGCCCTTCAGGTTTATATTTCAGCTTCTAACATATTTTCATAGACTACCTCCCACTCACAGTATTAACTTCCCCTTAATGACTCCCCACCTTAACTGCTGCCTTCTTATTTTTCATGATCTTCCTGATTCCTATCTCTGCCCAGCTCTGTAGGGCACGTTCTCTCTCCAAGAAGCAGTAATCAAATCATCTCTGTTATAGCTACCCCAGTAGTGCTGACGAACCCAAACTGCCTGTCAGTGCTATCAGGAGAGGTTCTCATACCTTATCTTACAAAATGCTGAGGATCAAACCTCCTGGAGTCATTTTCCTAACACTCGTCTTGCATTGGACTTTTGACAGAGTTTGGACAAAGGGCTGCGTCCTGTGGAACACTCTTGGTTTTGCCTAAAATTATTGTTCCCTATATTTTTTTGTTTTCTTTTTTTTTTCCTTAGCTTACTTATTTGTGAAATTTATCAGAAATAATATACCTCTGTATAAAATAGCCTCCACAGTTCTTTTGTATAAGTAATAACCAGGTTGGACAGAGTTTGCAACTAAGGAAAGTAGGTCAAAACAATGTGACTAAATCATCCCAAAACAATCATTGGAAAGAATCAGATTCACACCCACAGGGTTTATGTGAACAGATTCAAACCTGCCAGGGCTTTGGCATCTATCACCATCTCTAGTACTTAACAGCAGGATTCACCAAGAGTTTATGAGTCAAGGAAACAAAAGTCCAAAGCTTAGAAACCAGTTTTCATCTGCCCTTTTAAAAAGGTTCATTTGATTTTCAGAGTAATTTATATTCAGTTCTGCTTACCAGGTTCAACTCAGTAGCCAAATCAGCTTTTTAAGTGTGGATAGGCTTCAACACCTCTGGAAAGTCTCCAGAAAAACAGAGGAGAAATGGGAAAATATCTTGGTCATTGGTACTTTCTATTTTTTGCAGACCAAGCAGAAGGTCAGCATAGTTATCTACTGAAAATCCCTGTGAGACACTCTGCCCCAGATTAGAAATTTCTCCAGGGAAAGACTAAGCCCAGAGCAGTCAGGACACTGTCCAGTGGCCCATGGTGCCCATGCAGGGCTCACAGGGACCAGCCACACTGGGTCTCATGGCTTGTCCTCCATAGGGCAATTTTCTGTCCTCATTTATCTTGATTAAGCCTCAGAAGCCAAAGGATGCAATGTTCCTAAAATCAAACAAGCGTCTATGGACCAGCTAGTTACTGATTTTGCAAAGGCTGGTGTTTGCCTTCTCACCTGCTCCTCCTGCTGCTGTGCCCACTCACCAATCTGTGTGTCACCATTCTGAACATATGGGGCATTGCACTAAACAATTTTAGCTATTCTGCTTTTCATTTGTGTTCTAGTCTGAGACCTCAAGAAGTGCAAGGTTGTCCATTTTTCAGTTATAAGGATTTTGTATTTATACTGGACATGAATCTGAACCCAAAGCAAAACAAACAAAAAAGAAAAAAGAAAAAAAAAAAACCAACCAACCAAATAAACGAGCCCTAATGCCAGTTATTTTCACCAAATTTGAGCTATTTGTATCATGATTTGGAATCAAACATTGCGCTTGGCACTATTTTCTGCAATGAGACAATATGAAATCTTGGATTTGAATACTCCTACACATAGAAAAGTCTGAATCTTTAAATGTGTGACTTGTCCTAAATTTACACAGCACCTTTCCTCAGGAGATCACTGTTGTTTGACTGATGGCAACTCCAAAGCACCACAATGTGGAAGAAGCCTGCAGGAAGGGAAACTGAGGCAAGTTAATTTAAAAGCAGGATAAGTCAGGAAAAGGAGACTTTAGTGATCCAAATCCTCTCTCACTGCAGAAAAGAGAGAGAATACAAGATCTGCTTAATTTCTTCATCAAGCCCACTGTGTTCATGGAGTTCATGCTAACAACCGATTGATGCCAATCATTGTTTTCACCTTTAAAAGAGCTGATGAACATGACACCTCACAGAAAGCACTCCCTTAGACTCTTCACTTTTACCAGATGAAATATTTTCCAACCTGAAGTAACAAAAAGGAGAGGGGAAAAATTAAAGAAAAGGTGTATTATTTTCATTTTTTGAAAGAGGTAAAAAAAAGCTACAGAACTTCTTTGAATCCCACCCTATATTTCATATTTCTCCAGTGAGGCTTGCATTCCTTTATTCAGATTCCAAAAGCAGAGATAATTTGTTCCAAATGTTTTCAGAAGCAATCAGCAGCATCAACTTACTTACATTCTTTCCAGGGTTGGGAGAAAACTGTGAAATCTTCTAAACACTAATGGAGGAGTAAGCAAGGGAGAGAAACGGGGGAGAAGGAAAGGTGGAAGACAGTGAGAAAATAAATAGAAGGAAAAGAAGGAACAGAGGAAAGAAAAAGAAGAGGAAAAAAGCAGAAAGGAATAGGCTGATGATCTATTTGTTTATATTGTTACAGTTATGAATCCTTGAGCAGATCTGGAGAGACTTACCACTTGCCAGCAACATATTTCCATTGGCAAGGTAGCAAGCAGTTCTTAGCATGATACTATGTAGCAGAATATGATTGAGAAATAGGCCCTAAAATTATATATTTATTGCAAGACTGTCGGTGAGATTTTTTGCAGGGAAGCTGAACATACAACTCCCTGTGTGTTGCATGTCTATTTTGTCTGCTAGAGATCTTAACTGAGCTACTCATCAGTCATTGTGCAGTCTTAGAAGTCTGGACAGATGTTACTAGTGCAAATAAAGACAAAAATGCTGCAATTTGTCTTCCATACAAGCCACAGGGCTATTGAATGGCTGCCTTTAAGACGCAATGTGGTCTGTGAGCTCCCTCTGAGAGCAGAGGGCTCGCGGCGTGCTGCCTGGTTCGCCGCTGGCTCTCTGTGTGGCCTTTGACAGCTCATTTAATCCCTGGCTTCCCAAAACTATAAAGTAGGAACAGTAATTCTTGCAGTGTTACAATAGTAGGGATTCATCCTGTGCAGCTGTGATCCTTGCCAGGTACAGGTCACCACCATGCCATTTACTTACGGAGCTGAAGAGCCAGCAAGCAATATGCCAAGTGGCACCAGTCTGCTAGTGGCTACTTAGAGCCCATGCTCTCTTCACCTCCCCACAAGCTCAAGCACCACAGCAAATGCAATAGAGAGACAAGCTTACCCTCCTAGTGTTTCTCAACTGCAGACTTTTCTCCAAGCCTCCAAAAGGTCAAACATCTGCTCCTTCTTTCCCTGGCCTCTGCCTACCCTCCCAAGCTGGGCATGGAGCCATACCCATGGTCCTTCCTCCCATGATGGTTCCCACTAATACAGCCCCACATCCCAGTCGCCATGCCTGTGAGCGCAGCCCCTTATTGCCAGCAAATGAACAGCAAATGATTGGTGGTTAGGTTTAATGGGCAGGTATTAACTCTTGAGCTTTCAAAAGCTCTAATTAAGCCTGACTTCCATTTGAAATCCACCCAAAGTGGGAGAGTAGGGCATTTGTTTTTACACAGCTGAGGAATGTGCGTTTAACTATCTCAGGAAGGAAAAAGAAATGAAAACCACTTGGAAAGCTGGTAAACTCAACCACCTGTACTCCTTCAGCCTCTGCAAAGTTCCTCTCCCCACTGTAAACCAGGGCTTATGAACAGCTACAAGAGATGGCTGGTGTAAAACTGGTGTTTAATACAATGCCCATTGCAAAAACCAGCAGTGCTTGGAGTGTTTTTGTCACTGTCCACCCAGGGCCAGCAAATTTAACCACTCTGCTCTTGTGTACCATAACATGCTTTTGCTTCTTCACTCCTGCTTCCCAGAGGACCAGATCCCAAATAAGACATCTAGACTAAGCTGGGCAAACTTGACTGACTAACTATTTGGACAGGTTTGCTTTAATCATAAACAATACAGTAAATTAATGCTAGCCATGCTGAATTGTTTTAATGACTACATGCTTTCTGCTCCATGCCCAGAACAGTGCTGTTTTGTCTTCTGCCAATTACACTGGCCTCTAGGACATTCTCCTGCAGCTTGAAGAAATGTATGTTTAGAGAGATGCTAAAGGGACTCCAAATTTAGTGGTCTGGAAAAGACCAGACTCTAATATCAGAGCATGAGTGAGCCTGGGGACTGGTGCATGTGAATGAGGTGTGAGTTTGCAAGACTTTTCTAGCACCCAAACCAAAACTGTGCAATTAGTTAGAAAAGTTTTACACTAAAAATACAAAATAAAGCCTAGAAATTATATGAAAATTAGGAGGTTTTAATGAAAAAAAATAGACTGAAAACAAGAAGAAAATATTTTGTTTTCAGTGGCAACTGAAAAGATGATGCTTGGTTAAAACAAAAGAAAAAGGAGGAAAAGAAATTGAAAACAAAAAAATTATGGTTTACTTGTTGAAAAAACCCCCCAGCTAAGTTGAAGGATAACAAGTATTTTTGACAAAATGAAGTCATTTAATCAACTTACAGAAGGGAGTCTTGAGATTTGAAACTCCAAATGAAAGAACATGATTCATGGGAAGGAACTGGGAAATGGGAGGAAGAGCAAAATGCATACTAAAATTAAACTCTTCATTGCTCTGAGATGCCTCCACCTTGGCAAGTATTTGATAATTAAACACAGATGTACAACCTGTACAAAATAAAAATATATGTTCCTTAACTCAGATTCAGTGATAAGCTTTTCCTCCACCACTGCAGAGGGGAACCTCTATACCTGTTCAGAGGCAAACTGAACAGGCAGATTTTGCCTAAACAGATTATTTTCTCATTCTTTCCACCTAGCCAGGTATAAAGCATGTAAGGAAATTGACATACACAGCTACAGTTTGTCTGCTGCTTGCACACCCTGTGTGTAGGCATACAGTAGCACTCGTGAGTTGTCACTGTCATCTGAGTCTGAGGTTGTCCAGCATGTTCCAGCACAAGACCCACCAGTGAGCAGACAGCATGGTGTCCTGTGATAAGTCAGAGACGGTTATGGTGGAATACAAGGGTCTGCGAGGCATCCACATTCCTGCCAGTGACTTTCCAGTAATCCAGAAAGCTCTCCCAGGCTCTAGTTTTCAGTCTGTGCTATGCTGCTCTGTAAGAGTCTAGCGGAAGGTGAGCTGCCTGTGGCAAGGGGTTAAAGCAGGATGATCTTTAAGTTCCCTTGCAACCCAAACCATTCTGTGATTCTATGATTCAGGAATTTCTTTCCTAGAGTTCTTTTCTGCAACCTCATTGAACAGTCTGAAAAATTGAAAAAAGCAACCAGGCATCTTCTCTAGAGAACTAGTCCCTCCTACTCCTGTCTGAAATGTTTGCAATTAACTTCCCAATAACACCCATATGGAAGAGCATCAGCTTTACTATTTTTTCACACCCAGGCCTCAATATGACATGAAATCCAAACAAGGCATTTTTTTCCAGCCACCTACCAAGTTTCCCCAAGATTTCTGAACAGACCCAATGTAAGAAACTATGGCTTGATCTACCCACAGATATTCTGTCTGCAGCCCATGGGGTAAATGTCTTACAGATTTTGCCACAACCAGAATTTCCTTTTGGGCAAGGTTTTTTCCCGAGAATCTTTAGAAACTTTTATTCCTGTGACACCACCAATTCTGTTGGACTCCAACTCCAGTCCCTCTAAGCGTTACTGGCTGAAAGCATTATTGAAAGTTTTGAAGCAAGGGGAATGTAAGGCAGGAGCAGTCACTAAGGTTCAACTCTGACCTAAATGACACGCAACCCTCAAAGAATTTAATCTTCTTACCCAGTCACTACTGCTGTATTGCAGTCCTGGTAAACCAAGGGACCTAGTGGTAGACCACTTGGAATGTTGTAGTGTGCTTCACTCCAAACTTGTATTAAATGACCTTGAATGTCATCCTGGTGTGACAGTACTCCTCACCTTGTTTTAGGTTCCTTTTACACATCCCTACATAATTTTTCACAGAGATACTGGCCCAACTATAACATTGTGATCAAATACTATGCCAAAACAAAGCATATTCTAGCACTTCATCTCTGTCTTCCAAAGAAAATTTGTTTCTGCTAGTATTTTAGCCAAAAATGTGGTGAGATTCTGGATCTGGTTGAAAGGGATATACTATACTGATACTATACTGTATATACTATATACATAGGGTATATACTATACTGATATATTTCTCCACTTTGTCTTCCCGATTTCATACTGTGACATGATGGAGTAGCTGCTCAATGTGTGCTGCTGTGACACTCTCCAGCTTAATCACTGCCATCCATGTTTTCAGATCACAAGATTACAGCTCTGGAATTGAATTCAGAATGGGTTTAGGTCATTCTGTTGTTTTATTATTACTAGCACTATCATTATTACTCATTATTATTATTGTTGTTATTATTCCTAAATACTTAGATATATTTTACTCAACTGGCCTTTTAAAAGGACTTCTCTAAAGATTGAATTTGTTGGCCACTTCTTATGGTTTTGACACAGTTACTATCAAAAATTAAATCAAACAATATTTGCTCATGCAGACAGTTTCTGAATGAATTTCAGCATTTTCCCCTGTCTTTCTCTGACCTCCTGTCACTCCATTTGTGATGTGCTGGGTTCCATTTTCTCTAGTCATGTGAAAATCGGCTCTTGCAGTTTAGCCAGTTATTCCTGTGTACTTCATAGATTTTCGTATTTGTAGTAAAATTCTAAGACTGGTTTTTCACTGCCCATATTTGAACACAAAGCCTTCTACCCTAAAAGCATATCTCCAGCTGGTGATCTGGAAGTTCACACAAGCAGTTGGCTGGTGCTCACCAGGCAATGGTGAGGCTTTGTCCTACTGTCCTGGGTTCAGCAGTAGCAGTCATGTTTTTTCCTTTGTGTTAGCTGGTGCAGTGCTGTGTTTTGACTTCCAACCTGGGAACAGTGTTGGTGAAGCCGATGTTTTCGGTTGTTGCTAAGTGATGTTTACCCTGACCAAGGACTTTGTGAGGCTCATGCTCTGCCAGGGAGGAGGGGAAGCTGTGAGGAAGCAGAGACAGGGCGCCTGACCCGGGCTAGCCAGGGAGGTATTCCATACCACAGGACGTCATGCCCGGGGTGGGGGGTAACTGGGAGTTACCCGGGAGGACACGGGCTTCCGGATGGGACTTGTTTCTTGGCCGGTGGTATCGTATTCTCTTCCCTTGTTATTTTCCCTTATCATTGTTGTCGTTGCTAGTAGCGGTGGTGCCCTTGTGGCTAAGATGGCCAATGGCATCCTGGGGTGTATTAGAAGGGGGGTGGTTAGTAGGTTGAGAGAGGTCCTCCTTCCCCTCTACTCTGCCCTGGTGAGACCGCATCTGGAATATTGTGTCCAGTTCTGGGCCCCTCAGTTCAAGAAGGACAGGGAGCTGCTGGAGAGAGTCCAGCGCAGGGCAACTAAGATGATTAAGGGAGTGGAGCATCTCCCTTATGAGGAAAGAGTGAGGGAGCTGGGTCTCTATAGTTTGGAGAAGAGGAGACTGAGGGGTGACCTTATAAGTGTCTATAAATATATAAAGGGGGAGTGTCACGAGGATGGATCCAGGCTCTACTCAGTGGCAAACAATGATAGGACAAGGGGTAATGGGTACAAACTGGAACACAAGAGGTTCCACTTAAACTTGAGAAGAAACTTCTTCTCAGTGAGGGTGACGGAACACTGGAACAGGCTGCCCAGGGAGGTTGTGGAGTCTCCTTCCCTGGAGACATTCAAAACCCGCCTGGACACATTCCTGTGTAACATTATCTAGGTGTTCCTGCTCCGGCAGGGGGATTGGACTAGATGATCTTTCGAGGTCCCTTCCAATCTCTAGCATACTGTGATACTGTGATACTGTGATTTGTGTTGTACATTGGTTGCTGGACTGTTCTTGTCTCAACCCGTAGGAGTTGCACTCTGTCGATCCTCCTCCCCGTTCCTCCAGGAGTGGGTAAGGGGAGAGCCCTGGTGGGGGGGGCGGCCCTCTATTGTTGTCAGCTCGGCACCACTCACTGGGAGTGAGTGAATAAGTTGCCTGACTGGGTTTAAACCACAACACCTACCCAGCCTTGGATTTATTAGTCTCTTTTGATTGTGTCAGTGTTTAGTTAAATTGTTCCTGCAAAATTTCTTTTTACACTTGCCTGTTTCCATATTTATAGGCCAAAGTTCCTCCTGTAAGTCTACCACGGTTTTCATGAGCCACATTAAATCCCCTTACCCAACACATCTATAGCCACATCTCCACATGTTGCATGCATTATTGTCGCCGATTTCCATTGCAAGTATACCCTTCTTCTTTGGTTAGACTGCACCAAGAAATTCTCCAGGATCTTAAGTAAATTCAGGAGTTTCCACTGCAGTCCTGGGCCTTATTTTGCTGATCTTAAACTGCCACCTCTTATAGAGCTGTGTCTTTTTCAACCATCGGTTGCTCTGGGGATGTGGTGTTTGGGCATGCTAGGAGGATTAGTCTCCACAGGCTCTTTCCAGGATCAGGTTGGATCTGCTTGGGTG